TATAAGATCCACAAAACCAGTGTATATGGTACTTTTGAGTGCTATATTTGCATCACAAAGAATGAATTGTGCATATTTTCCAGACAAAAAAAATGTTGAGTTAGAAGGCACCTCTCAAGTTTCAATGTGTACAATAAACTGAAGATCTTGGGCAGATTTTTTTTCCCCCCACACAGCACTATGCTGGGAATAACATATTATGTGATTAAATCCTAGTAATACCTTGATGGTTCACAGTAAGTGTTCAATAATTCCCAGGATTTAGATAAAGGGCTCAGAATTAGTATTTCTTCCTTTGTTTCTCTGTCATTGATTTTCCTAAAAATATGTAGACTAAAAGCTAAATATAGACGGAGATAAATAAGAAAATACAGACATAGAAAGAGTTTAATATAGTTTAGAGAATTTTTTTGTGTTTATATTTACTTGTTGGTAACTTGTGCAGCAACTATTGGATCTACAGGAATAGAAAAGCCGCCAAATGGAATGTTTCTGTAAGCACTGGTTTTACTATAAAATTTAAAAATTAAGATTTTAAACTGTAGAGTTTATTTTTCTTATGTATCTGCTTTTGGGTTTCAGGATATCATGAGCACCAGTTCTAAAAAGTCAGCAGGATTTACCAGTCAAAACTTGAATCTTTATACATCAGTTTTGTAAGGAAAGACTCCAGAGTGAGGCCAGACCTAAATAAGGCCTCCGAAAAGGGTGAATCTGATCAGAGCTGGGGCAGGGAGAAGACCGTAGGTAGAATTTGATCTCTATGCCTCTGGGGTATTTCCAGTTCTGTTTTTCCTAAGCTTACCTAAAAACTTACATCCCAGAGTTTATGTAGCTTTAATCTACTTTGACACTGCCCTGTTAATTTTATAACATATACTAATAAGCATTTTTTTAAACATAAACTCAAAATATTATTGTCATCATAAAAAAAAGTTGACACTTAGAACTGGATCACTCAGCTCTTTCTCTTCTTATCTCCTCCCAGTTCAAAATTCGTGCATCTTTTAATAGCCAGCATTCACTTAGATCTGCAGTTGGACTCATGGCACTCAAGCCTCAGCACAATCTTCTTTGTAGTTTTAGCCTTTTTCCAAAAAATTGGCTTAGTTTGCCCACGATAGACACTCTGCTTTCTGTCATGACACCGCTTTCCCTGGGCATACAAAGAATCCTTGCCCTTCTTGTACTGTGTCACTTTGTGGGGGTGGTGCTTGCCACACTTCTTACAGAAAGCCTGGCAGGTTTTAGGAATGTTCACCATGTTTGCATGAATGCTATCAGCACAGAAAGCACCAATAAGCAATTTAAATGAATCTTTTAAAGTTTTCTAGGATAATTTTATTAGAAGATAAATATGTATTCTCAGAAAAGTAAAAGAAAAACAAATAATAATAAAAACTCTTCAGTCCATAAATATCCCTCAGGTAATAACAGAAGTCAAACAACATTTTTTAAAAAGTGACCCAAGGTGTTTTTTTGTTTTGTTTTGCAAACATCTATTCACTGCACCAACCATATGATGCTTAATTCAACCATGTATCCAGTTGCTAGTCTGGACTAAAAGTTCCCGGATGATAGGGACCATGACTGCTTCATCTATTTTTTGAATGGCCATATGAAACGGAAGGATTCATTTATTTGAGTCACCAGACCTCCTCTTTCTCTTTCACCCAAGTACCAGAAAACTTCAGAAACTCTCATCTGGGCACCAACCAAAGTTAACTCTTGTATCAAGGAGAAGATAACACAGGATAACTTCTTTCTCTTACACTGGTACAGAAGCAGAATTAGTCATTCTTGTCAGCCTGACACAGTTCTGCCCTGGACATCCTCAAATGTCTTAAAGACACCTAGCTGGTTGTCAGAGGATTCCCAGTGACCCAGGGCTGATGGCACAACGATAAATCAGGCTGGAGAAACTCAGGCTGATTCTAAATAGAAAATGGAACTGCCTTGGTGGAGCTCCAGAAGCTGGATCATCTATCCTGATTTGCTAGCTTTTGGGTAAGAAGAAGGACAAGAATATTCCAGTTTCACAATTTAAACGTAGGTATAGTTGTGGTCACGGCTCTGGATACTTTGTGGCCTTGAACTCTTACTCTTAAGATGCTTGTGCCGGGCGCGGTGGCTCATGCCTGTAATCCCAGACTTTGGGAGTCGGAGGCAGGCAGACCAAAAGGTCAGGAGATCCAGAGCATCCTCACCAACATGGTGAAACCCTGTCTCTACTAAAGATACAAATAAGTAGTTGGGCATGGTGGCGCATGTCTGTAGTCCCAGCTACTCGAGAGGCTGAGGCAGGAGAATTGCTTGAACCCAGGAAGCGGAGATTGCAGTGAGCCGAGATCGTGCCTCTGCACTACAGCTTGGGTGACAGTGAGACACTCCGTCTCAAAAAAAAAAAAAAAAAAAGCTTGTTTACGCTTACAGATTCTGTCATCAGATTCTGTTTATACCTGGAGCCTCTCACATAACTGAAGTGGTCACTAAACAAGATCTGAAAAGCTTAAAGAGCCACACTTGCAAAGAGGGGAGGGGGGCTCTAAGATTTTCATGTTGACAGCCAGGCACAGTGGCTCACACCTGTAATCCCAGCACTTTGGGAGGCCGAGGCGGGCCAACTATCTGATCTTTGACAAAACTGACGAGGGAAATGTGAAAAGAATTCTCTATTTAATGAATGGTGCTGGAACAACTAGCTAGTACTATGTAGAAGATTAAAACTGGTCCCCTTCCTTACACCATATATAAAAATCAACTCAAGATGAATTAAAGACAAAACTTGTAATTAAAAAAAAAACAACCCAGATCATAAATAAGCTAGAAAATATCATCCTAGGCATGGAAACTAGCAAAGATTTTATAATAAAGATACCAAAAGCAATTGCAACAAAAGCAAAACTTGACAAATAGAACCTAATTAAAGAGTTTTTTCATAGCAAAGGAAAGTATTAACAGACTAAACAGTCTACAAAAAAAAACAAAACTGCGAACTATTCTTCTAACAGGGGTTTAATATCCAGAATTAAGAAACTTAAACAAGTTTACAAAAAGCAATTTACCACTGCAATAAAAAGTAGGCAAAAAACATGAACAAATGCTTTCCAAAACACAAATATATGGCTAGCAAAAATATTTTTTAAAATGCTCATTAGAGAAATGTAAACAAAAACAAAACAACAACAAAAAACTACAAGGAGATACCACCTCACACCAGACAGAATGGCTGTTGTTAAAAAAGTGAGTAACAGGTCGGGCACAGTGGCTCATGCCTGTAATCTCAGCACTTTGGGAGGCCAAGGAGGGTGAATCACTTGAGATCAGGAGTTCAAGAGCAGCCTGGCAAACATGGTGAAACTTCATCTCTACTAAAAATACAAGAATTAGCGGGGTGTGGTGGTGCACTTCTGCAGTTTCAGCTACTTAGGAGGCTGAGGCATGAGAATCACTTGAACCCATGAGGCAGAGGTTACAGTGAGCTAAGATTGTGTCACTGCACTCTGGTCTAGGCATGAGTGAGACTGAATCTCAAAAACGAAAGTCAGTAACAGATGCTGGCCAATATGATGAAGCCCTGTCTCTACTGAAAATACAAAAATTAGATGGGCATGGTGGCACACACCTGTAGTCCCAGCTACTTGGGAGGCCGAGGCAGAAGAATCGCTTGAACCCAGGAGGCGGGAGTTGCAGTGAGCTGAGATCACACCACTGCACTCCACCCTAGGTGACAGAGTGAGACTCTGTCCCCCACCCCCAAAAAAGCTATCTATATTAATGCTGCCATCTGCTATTGAGAAGAAACTTTACTGGTTAGCTTTACCTCAAGATCTCCAATGGGCATACAATCGCAAATGTTTAAAGGGGTCCTTCTGAGTCGTGAGATTATCAACCCAAGGTGTAAGGTCCTGAAGTCTTGAACTTGGGAGGCTGAGGCATAAGAATAGCTTGAACCCATGAGGTGGAGGTTACAGTGAGGTGAGATTACGCAACTGCACTCCAGTCTGGGTGACAGAGTGAGAATCTGTCTCAAAAACAAGTCAATAACAGAGGCCGGCAAGGTTCCAGAAAAGAGGGAATGCTTACATACTGCTGGTGGGAGTGTAAATTAGTTCAAGACCTAATGGGCAACATGACAAAACCACATCCCTACTAAAAATAAAAAAAGAAAGATTACATGTGATGGTGTGTGCCTATAGTCCCAGTTACTTAAGGGGCTGAGGTAGGAGGAGTCCTTGAGTCTTGGAAGTTGAGGCTGAAATGAGCCAAGATCGCACCACTGCACTCCAGCCTGTGTGACAGTGAGACACTGCCTCCAAAAAATAAAATAAAGATTTAATAAAAACAAAATATGGCTTGAATACCAGTAAGTAGGGAAAGGAAAAAAAAAGAAAATTAAAATATGATACATAAAAAACATGGAAGACTATGTGGCCATATAAAAACAACACAAAGCCGA